CGAGAGTTACTCAATCTGGATTGTGGACCTGATTTCGGTTGCCTTTGGGGGATAATCTGACTGTAGCGGACCATAAGTCTCATTCCTGCAACTCCTTGTTCATGCGATTTTTTTTTTTTTTTCCCGCTCATTTCCGGAGACTTTTGTCTTGAAGGCCCCGCAGTGTAAGCTTTAATTCCTAGATTACTGTCACTGTCATCGTTACGAGCGACCGACAGTAAGGTAAAGGAAGGGTCAGCGAGGGATTGAAGCATGTGGCCGGGTTGTTTATTTGGGCGGTGAGACTGTGGGCCTCTCCTGATGTCATTTGTCAGGACTCTGCATTGGCTGGCCCAACCGGTGACATTTGCTTTCCCACCATGTGGCCCCTGTACTTTGAGGCCAGATGGCAGATGACGCCTCCAAAGCAGAAGACACACACACACACACACACACACACCAAAATATAAAAAAAAATACTCATGCACACTCACCGTCAAGTTTCTCATTTCTCAGCAGCAGAGCTGGTTGGGGACTAAGCAGGCGAACGATTTATCACCCAAAATGATTTATAAAGTCCTGATTGAATGCCAGAAAGCAAACTTGGAGGGAGGGGGGGAGAAGAAGAAAAAAAAAGAGAGACAAAAAAAAAAAAGTAGTGGTATTATGATTGGTGCCGGCTAGATCGATGCTTCCTTCTCTCTGTGAGCCTCATCCTGTTTGTGCAGGGTGAAATATCATCTTGAAGGCACAGTGCAGAGCTCTTACACCTCCTCCTTTTCTCGTGGACTGCAGAATTTCTTTCTTATTCACTCACTGTCTCTTTTCCGCCCCTTTGCCGGCTTGCCTTGGTATCTTTCAGCAGCATGAAGGGAGGATTTGTCACCTGTGAGAGGCAACAACCAGCGAGTAAGGGTTTGTCACTGGAGCAGGTGTGCTGTGATTAAACCAGGAGAAATTAATGTTGAAAGGCAAACTTCAAACGGCGCAGTGGGACTGAGCGAGTTACTGCTCAGTCTGGAAACGTTTGGAATGTGATGGATGTTTTTCCAGCTCTAGATAAGTTCGGAAAAACTCCGCACAAAAATATTCTTGTTTCTACTTTTTTTCTGTCTCATTGACTAAAGGCGGTATCATTCCTTCCTTCTTTCCTTGCTCCCTTCTTTCCTTCTCTCCATAGTTCCTTCCTTCCCTCCTTCTTTCCTGCCTTTCTTCATTCTTTCCTTCCTTACTTAGTTCCTTCTTCCCTTCTTTCTTTTCTGTCTTTCTTCCTTTTTTCTTCCCTCGCTTCCTGTCCTCTTCATTTCCTTCCTTCCTATCCCTTTGATTATAAACCGTATCATTCCTTCCTTTCCTTACTGTTAAAATATCTGTCATAAATTCACACACAGTTCAGTGAACGCAGCAGCAGGAGCTGCGAAGATATTGTGTATTGCAGACTTCTGCCCAGGTCCCTCTTGAAAATGAGATCTGGATCTCAACGGGGTTCACCCGGTTAAATAAAGGAAATAAAATAAAGGAAATAAAATAAAGGAAATAAAATAGAAAAAGTTTGGCGTCAGGAGCCTCGGTTCTCATTGCGACTGGAGGAAGCCGCCTCATCGTGAAGGAACGCGAAGAGTGACGAATCCTCCGGCTTTTTGTCTTTTGCAGATTTCATTACTTCGACCCGCCGCTGCTTCCTGCGCGGCTCCCCGGACTGTAAGCTAAAGCATCGTCTCCCACGAGGAGGTGAGCCAAAATTTGACAAAACTGATCCAGCCGCATCGCTTATCGAGCTGATGTTCTCAGAAGGAGCAGCCTGACGGCGGAGGCAGGAAAATATACACATGGAGAAAATGATGAAACCGTGTGTCAATACGAATAGGCTGCATTGAGTTAATTTAAGTTAATGTAAATGGTGCATGAGTTTTAGTTGAGAGTCACCTCTCTCGGCGTCACCACTGATAAAGTCTCAGCTGTCTTAAAGCTGAACTTTAAATAACTTTTAAAGTTCAAGTATTGAGTCATCCCTCATTTCTCTGACATTCTTGTAATCCTTTAACGTGATCAATACTTTAGCAAAATCTTCCGAGGATTTTTTTTTAATTATTATTATTATTTTCATTGGGAACTCCACCATTAATTTTCGGTCCCAGTGTCTTGCCATTTTCGTAAATGTTTCTGTTTGTTAAGCTGCTTATTTCTGTCCAATAAATAATTCAAACCTAAAAAGCCTCTCAACTCATGAACCCTTGTAGTGTCAGCCTGGCGAAAAAGGTATTTTTAACTTGGATCTTTAGGGCCTTTGTTCGCCGCAGGCTGTCACAAAGATGCGGGTTGTTCTCATTTCTTTTGCTGAGCCTGTTAAAAAAAACAAAACAAAAAAAATACCAGCTGTAATACTGAACATGCACAAAATAGTCCTCAGCGCCACTAGAAGATATTAACAGATGGATGGTGCATTTCGGTTCCTGTGTCAGGATGAATTTTAGGACTCAGATAGTTGTTTTTATGCCTTTATATATTTTATTTCTTTCAGCAACTTGTCTACTTATCTAGACAAGTTGCAAGATCAATATAACTTCTTCTTCAACTGGACTTCTTCTCTTGTTTCTTGAAGATATATTGCTGAAAACCAGAGACTAGATTAGTCCACAGATAATTCCTGAACACAAACTCAGCCGTGCAGATGGAGTGCAGCAGGGAATGTTCTGGAGAGAAAAAACAAACAATACTAAACAGGACGATGGCGTACAGAGGAGCCAAGTCATCGGGTCAAGAGTCAGCTTACATCTCAAGGACAAGAGGCACTCTTTTGAGTACGGCGACGTGACCGTTTTGAGCGAGGAAACGTGTGGTTTGAGAAAATAGTAAACCGTCTACATTAAACATGAAAAACCAACACCGAACAGAGGATTTCATCTTTCCAACGCCTAGTCCGCAGCCCTGCATCGTCTCCACAGGTGTTTCTTCAGCAAGTCCCACCTTGAGACATGTGACCAAAGCTACGGGCGTCGTCAGGGAAACATCTGGATTGTCAGGGAAACAATAACCCAACCCTTGAGCTCAATTAAGGGTATAGACCCAGTGGCCTGAACGCCACATCAGTAACTCCGACGACCGTATCAGCGGGATTGTTCTCGCGACAATTCATAACCTTGTTACTTCCAGGCACAATCAGAACCGAAGGAGCCCACTGGACGAGAGATGAGACAAGAAAAGACGTCCAGCTGAGAACCTATGGTGTCCATGAAAGGAAATGTATAAAAGCATAAAAGTTATCACATATGTAATTCAGTGTAAATGTGCTTTTAATATCCTCACCTGATGGAAATTTTAAAGCATAGTCCTAAAAAAGAAAAGTGGGACCGATCACTCGTCCTGTTCATTGCACATCTGTTATATGCATGAGTTAGCAAGAATGAAGAATAGAAATATCTCAAGTCCTGACCTGAATTCAACAACAAACAAAAAAAAAATTGCAATGCAAGGAAAGAGAGGGTGTTCTTAAATCAAGCAGACGTGTCACAGACGGAGTGCGGTACTGATGCGAAGAATATTTCTGAAGCTCACAAATACGGCGTTTCTTCTGTAACAGCTTGCTCTTTCCTTCAAGAAGTCACTTTTTGTCTTTTCCGGCTGTTCACTTCTGATTATAATTCAGTGAACAAGTACACGTCTTCAGCGACTTTCAAAGGTGTCCACAATACCCAATGAGGTTCTCACAGTTTGCCACAGTTCAGGTTGTTTTATGTGGTAGACCGTCACAGTAGCATCAGTGTAAATCTGTTAATTTCTGGAATTGCTTCCTTTAAATGAAAGAATGTATTTTTATTCTTAAGCACTTAACTTCTGTTTTCACAACTTCTGAATATTCAGTTCCAAAAAAAAAAATAATAATAATTATATAGCATATATATATATATATTTTTTAAAGCTAATATCAATTCCTGTTCTGAGTTTGAATTTAACAAGGTGCTCAGTGAACAGGTGTGAGAACTGTATCGATCCTTTCGTTTACATCCGAGCCGATGCCAGTCGTACATTCACCCTCAAAGATGTATCTTATTTTACTGTTGATATATATGATCGTGATGCGAACAGATGTTTTCAGGGTAATAAATCCCCCGAGGGAGCCGAGTAATGAGCGCTTTTTAGCGACGAAAATGTACACACAGCCCAAGTTTAAAACACAACTGGAGGCATGAGTCATTAACTCAATGGAGACTCCACGGAGGACGCCACTGCCTCAGCCGTTAAAGAAAATCTTTACGTGGAACAGCTTGAGACAAATATAATGACACATTTGAGTCTCGCACAAAGAGCGGCGCCGCAAATGAATGGCTGAGCGTCGGCAGCTAATGAGATAACCTGCCTGTTGAAGATAAAGCCGAGGTGTTGGGGGTCATCGGCGGCGGAGCTGCTCCACTTGGATGGCGTAAGAGAGAGGAGGAGGAGGAGGAGGGCGTTGGGGGGGGGGGGTGTGCCGTCCTTTGAGGGCTTTTGTAATTAATCAAAGTCCCTCCTTTTAAACTCAACTATTTCGCATTTAACTTTATCTGCTCGTCTCCCACATGCAAAGCCCCCGCGTGTGATGTGAGCCCGTATCTTAATTACTCTCAGATCACTGATACCCCCCGCACACACACGCGCGCTCTGGCAAAGCCTCCTGAAGAGACAGAAAATCATTTTTACAGCCGGGGAGATAAGTCCCTGCGCTCCCTTTTAACGCCCTCGACGCCACCGGCAGCCCCTCACCCAAAACCCGCCGTCAAGACGGTAATGCGGTGACAGGCAGCCGGCGAAAGGCCTTGTACTGATAATTCATCTGTTACACACGAGTAATGAGCGTCCCACACACACACCCGTGATGGATTTCAAACTGAGTCCTTGCACAAACATTTCAGTTTCAGACTACTGTACATCATTATTAAGTTATTAATGATGGCGGTTGCTGCATGTGGTCTGCTCGCAGGAGATGTTTCTCAAGCTGAGCGAAACGATCATTACCACATGTGTGTGTGTGTGTGTGTGTGTGTGTGTGTGTGTGTGTGTTTAGCATCAGAATGCAGGAACGCTAGCTTTCACTGATGCATCTTAGCGATCGCTAACCTCTGGGGCCGCTAATCTCTAAACATGTCCAGGGCGACGACATCAGTCACACACGGGCTTGCGCCAAAAGCCGGAGAGCCCAGCTCCTCTAAAGCTACTGTAAGGCTCTCAGCCTCGCCTTTAAATATCACACATCCTGGGAAGCCTGTTAAAAGTTTGTCGATAAATGTTTAATGTATGCTGTTACAGGCAATTAAGTATTTGTACACCCACAGGAGAGACGGCAGCTGCTGCAAAAGCTCCACTCATGAATATCCAAATGGGACAAGAGTCGAGCAAAACACGTGACCAAATCGCACCAAAAGTTAGAAACAGCTGTGCGCTGTTCGACCTGGTGCCAGGCTGGACGTGATCTCATGCAAAAGGTTCGCCATTCATTTGGAGCTTTTAATGATGCATTTAAGGCATTTGCTTTCCAGTCTGCAATGATGATCAACACAAACGACCTCAATGATTTTGCTTCTTATCGGTGAATGTTTGGGTAAGAATAAACATTGTTCTTTTATTTTATGAACTACTGACAACATGGCGGAGGTCAGACCTATGCCTCAAGCTTCATGTCTAAGCCTGTCACAATGAACAATAAATCAATTAATCGCGTGATAAATTAAAAGAAACTCAATAATTTTCATTTGCTTGATTTATCGTTTTTCTCTTTTCTTTCCGTTTTTACCAAAAACCGAATGATGAAAGTATTCAGTCTGGTGCTTTGGTCTCAGCTAGCACCTTTTAGGAAAGATCATTTTGTTTACAGAGACTTCATAATTCATTTTATTTGTTGTTTCTGTTGTTTTCTTTATTCATTTTGGACATTTAAAATGTCTTCCAGTTCCAGTCTTTAAATGTTCGTTAGAATTTACATGTTATTGATCCTTGAGAACGTGTTCTTGCGTTATTGTGCCATTATTACTGTTATATTACTTGGAAATGGTCTCAAAGCAACAACGATATTATAGTTTATCGCAATAAGTTCTGGGACAATTTATCGTCTAGCAAAATTTATCAAGACAGGCCTATTCATGTTACTCCTTAAATCTGTCCCAAACCCAGTTTCAGTGCGTTTGGCATCGTTGACCTTTTGGGATACCCAGTGGGGTAAAAGTTTCAGTCATTCAGCTGTTATTGAAAGTGATGCTGAAGAGTCAGAGTGAGTTATACTCTGCTTGTTCAGACGCTCAGCATCATCCTGCAGTCGTACGACACCTACTGAGAGTCCGTTTTGTCGCCAGTGGTGCCACTGATGCAGGCGGACTGCACAAAGTGGGTGGAAAAATGAGCAGGGAGGACAACCTTGAAACTCTTCAGCATCAAAGCAAATCGAAAAACGACCATAGATGGAGACTCAACGGGATGCTTAAATAAAAACATTACCCTAAGCACATCGAAATGGGTTTCAGATTGGACAAATTACAGGAAGTCAACAAGTTAAAATGAGCTATTCCGTTCCTGACGATAGGAGTGGTCAAATATCCATGCAGAGTGATGAAAAGGGCCGCTTTGATGCATTCATTCATGTGTTCGCATCAGCGTGTGCACGCTTTTGAGTGTGTACGTCTAATTTTCACCGTGTGTGAATTGGACAAGACGCCTATCTTGAATTCAGACTCGCACAGCGTGTTCTGTGCCAATGCGAGTCAGAAGTATATGTAAAATTCTGACTGGCGCTGTAAAATTGTGGCGGATGAAAGTGAAACATTTTGATATGCAAAGCCTCGCGGTTCTTTATCTGCAAAAGGAGAGGAAAGTGCCAGAGGGCAATCCTCGGGCTTTGGAGAGTAGCTTGAGGGCTTTGCTGACAACACAAGCATGTGGTTAAATTAAATGTGAGGCTGAAATAAACACTAGTGAGCAACCTAAACCCAACCCGTGTTATTAAATGTCGCAGATTTCCTCTTTCTGATCCGCCTGAGACGATATAATGTCGTAAAAGCTCCCCCCCCCGTTTTCTCCGTGCCGTCGTGTACGCTTGGTAGAAATTAAAAATAGCAAAACCGCTTTTTTATTTTATTTTTTTAATTACAATTTAGGATTCTCATTAAGACTGGCCTCACCACCATGAGCATAAACATCAGAAGACCAACTGTTACTGCGGAAAATGCAGTCCAAATACTCACCTGCTTGTTTCCCCGACCGGCGGATGAATCAAGCCTGCAGTTGTCTAATCACCTCCTTTCACTCCTCCAGCTTGTTACGGGCTAATCACGCTCATTTGAATGGCTCACATGTGTAATTACTGCTGTCAAGCAGTCCCGGGTCTAACAGGTCAGTTTGCTCGGAGCGTCGGGTCCATTATAAAGACGCTAACTTATGATCATAGCTGTAGGCCGGCTGCAGCACTGCAGCCCAGGGGAGCAAATGTCAGGCCGTCTCATTGGGGGAAATAAAGTGTTTGTTTAACACGGAACGAGGTTAGCGTTGCTTTTGATTAGCATAAATGGCCATAACTCATTTACGCCTCGTCAGTAGGCTGCTGTTTTCCAATCAGCGGGTTTCGCTCGAACCTCGGGAGGCTCTAATGAGGCGGGTGGCAGGGCAAACACACACCTCACCTCACACACCTCACCGATTCACCTACAGCAGCTCGCTCTGCCCAGGTCAGCTTGGACGGCTCCACCAAATTCTGGATATCATTGGAAAAAGAAGAACGTAACTCCCAAAGTTGACGCGCTAATGTTCCTGGCCTAGTCGCTACGGTCCTGTTTCGCTTACCTGGAAGATGCCAATTGACGTGAAAAGTTCTTCCAAGGATGAGATTATAGAGAATCCACTAATCACTGCGTAGCCCTCACGTTGTTTCTGATTGGTTGACCGCTCCTTCGTGACTCGAACTGGACTCCTGAGTCCATCAAGAACCAGGCGAACTCGGACGGCGAAGTTGTTTTTATGATTTCTTATTCCACCCGTTTCATTTCGTCCAGACATACCTTATGCATTAAACATCAAATTTAAAATGAAGAAGCTCGTGATGGAGCTGGAAGGGTAAATTGCGTCAGAGAAAACGCAAACTCCAGTCGTTGGCGTGCAGTCAGCGTAAGGCAGGGCAGGCCGCCATCTTTTTTTTTTTTTTTTTTTTTTTTTTTTTTTTTTTTTAAAAAACCAAAAAAATCCTTTTTTAATTTAAAAAAAAAAAAAAAAAAAAAAAAGATGTTTTTAACCGGAAATCATGTTTACTTCTTTTTTTTTTTCTCAGATGCCTTATAAGAATTTAATTACTTTAAAGCATCATGGAAGAACGGCAGTCATATATAGCAGAAATAACTCCACATCAGGCGGGCAGCTGGGGGCTGGAGTGAATCATTCCAGTGTTTTTGCTGAACTGATCACAGCGCAGACAGATTGAGCATGCCACGGTCAGTTGATGTACAAGTAAAATGTCCCCACAAGGCCTGACCGCCGCTCTGGCCTTTAACGTGGCTTCGGACTCTTCCATTTCCTGCGTGACGTTACATTTAAGGGAAATACGGGCTCACTTGACTTGCAAGCTGAAATCCATCGTGCGTCTAAAGTTACTTGCTGAAAAGCAGGAGGATGGACTTTATTTTTTCAAACTAGGTAAGATTCTCAGATTGTTCAGAGGGATTTCATGTGTATGGGTTTGTGTACACGGACGAAAAAATGCCTCCTGCACGGCTTTGTGCACCGGTTTGAATTCCCTGGTCATAACTGATACCAAGAGCATGAAAAGGGCATCGGTTAGCACGGATTTCTTTTGAAACATTTATGTTGAGCCCCGCAGGCCAGCAAGAGTCCTTGTTGGGCAAAGTTCTCATCCATTCCTCGGTTTATACTTTTTTTCCATCTTCTTCTAAGATTGCGCTCTGGGATGTAGGTGGATGCTGAGTGGTGTTTGGGAACAAGTTCCTTTATTATTCAGTTTTGACCACATGCGGCAGCAAAGTTGTACGTGTGGGCAAGTTGACATTGATGTATGCTCGGATGTGAGCAAACCATAATGTCTTCTGCGCTCAAGCTTCAAAGAGTTATTCTCTGCTAAGGTTTTTTTTTATCCTTTCATGGCTCCACTTCACGTCTACCACTGTCAGTGTCGTTGCCATGTGCAGTTGCAACGCAGGTTTTTCATGATGGAATCCTCACGGACATTGTGGATGCATACATATTATATATATATGTACATATATATACAATTTGTATATGCAGTATACATTTGTATTTTTATACTACGTATATTACAGTAGAATGATCGTTCACTGGTCTTACGTCAGGTTTGTTTTTTAAGTTTATAAGTCTGATTTCTAAACATGAAAATAATTTCATCTAAGCGTCGCAACAAAGGTAATGAAGTACTTGTTTTGACTTATAACAAAGTGAAAGCTCAGGGTTTTTTTTTTTTTTTTTTTGCAATTTTGCGGGCAATGGGAGTGCATTAGGAGACGATGTATGTAAATAGGCTGTTTTTTACTTAGGCTGCAGAAAGTGACACCCAGAGGATGTGCTGCACTCTCAGGACACCTACTAGTCTTTTTTTTCCCCCACTTTACCTTTAACTCCCCGTTTCCTCCTCGCGCTTCTCTTTTACTCCATCACCATGCTCCCAAGAGGTGAAAAGAACCGAGCTCTGAACTGCAAGGAGAGAAGAGGAGAAGGAGGAAGTGAGAACAGGGGAGAGTAGAAATTCTCAAGTTGTTTGACTACGATGTGTGTGCACGCACGCGCGTGTGTGTGGTGAGAGAGAGAGAGAGAGATCACTGCATGTGTGTGGGGGGGAAATGTTTTACAGACAGACATCTGGGGATGCTCTGCAGCCAGGGGGGCTTTAAGCCGCCGTCGAGTTGAGAATCTAAGACGCGGTGCAGATCTGCAGCTGAACTGCACCAGCGTTACGGCTGGTTTATGGACTAAGCTCGTCCAATCAGAGCTCTAATTAAACCGGAGCTGCGAAGGAACGGTGAGAGAGTGTTGTTTACTGGAGCCAAAAGACTGCAGT